TCCAGTTTTGAATTCAATGTTTTTCTTATCATACACTGGTTACAAACCAAGTCTAGAAAAGCCTAGTTTACCCTGCTATTTGACTCAGTTATTGGGAAGAAGAGATGGATTCAGATTTTTCCAAAGAGTATAAATACAAAGCGAACACAAACTGCCTTTGTCAGAATTTGAACTCTGCTTGCTGACTCCATTTAGCATAACATTAATCCACTTGATCCTAGATGCCATTCACCTGTCCATTTCTGGAAGTTGTATTATGCATAAATAAGGATATTAAACAGTTGTCTGTCTTGTCTGGCTTTTTCATTATTTTTACAAAGTCATTTCGCATGTTAATAAATGAGAGGATTGATAAAAAAAGTCACTAACAATGACATTTAAATGTACATTCAATAAGAGATAAGCAACTCAGGTTTTCAAGATGTTTGTAGAAAAACATGATTGAAATGTGTGTTAAAAATATCATCAATCCAAAAGAGATCAATAGTCTGAACAACTCTTGGAATGATAATGACTCTTCTCAAAATGATAGAAGGTATCTTAAACAAAAAGAATGAGATCAATAGTCTGAACAACTCTTGCAAATAATGAGATAGAAGGTATCTTAAACAAAAAGAATGAGATCAATAGTCTGAACAACTCTTGGAATGATAATGACTCTTCTCAAAATGATAGAAGGTATCTTAAACAAAAAGAATGAGATCAATAGTCTGAACAACTCTTGCAATGATAATGACTCTTCTCAAAATGATAGAAGGTGTCTTAAACAAAAAGAATGAGATCAATAGTCTGAACAACTCTTGCAATGATAATGACTCTTCTCAAAATGATAGAAGGTATCTTAAACAAAAAGAATGAGATCAATAGTCTGAACAACTCTTGCAATGATAATGACTCTTCTCAAAATGATAGAAGGTATCTTAAACAAAAAAATGAGATCAATAGTCTGAACAACTCTTGCAATGAGACTCTTCTCAAAATGATGTTTTGGTATCTTAAACAAAAGAATGAGATCAATAGTCTGAACAACTCTTGCAATGATAATGACTCTTCTCAAAATGATAATGACAAAAGAATGAGATCAATAGTCTGAAAACTCTTGGAATGATAATGACTCTTCTCAAAATGATGAAACAAAAGAATGAGATCAATAGTCTGATAGAAAAATGATAGAAGGTATCTTAAACAAAAAGAATGAGATCAATAGTCTGAACAACTCTTGCAATGATAATGACTCTTCTCAAAATGATAGAAGGTATCTTAAACAAAAAAGAATGAGATCAATAGTCTGAACAACTCTTGAAATGATAATGACTCTTCTCAAAATGATAGAAGGTATCTTAAACAAAAAGAATGAGATCAATAGTCTGAACAACTCTTGTCTCTTCTCAAAATGATAGAAGGTATCTTAAACAAAAAGAATGAGATCAATAGTCTGAAGAACTCTTGCAATGATAATGACTCTTCTCAAAATGATAGAAGGTATCTTAAACAAAAGAATGAGATCAATAGTCTGAACAACTCTTGCAATGATAATGACTCTTCTCAAAATGATAGAAGGTATCTTAAACAAAAGAATGAGATCAATAGTCTGAACAACTCTTGAATGATAATGACTCTTCTCAAAATGATAGAAGGTATCTTAAACAAAAAGAATGAGATCAATAGTCTGAAGAACTCTTGGTGATAATGACTCTTCTCAAAATGATAGAAAGGTATCTTAAACAAAATAGATGAATCAATAGTCTGAACAACTCTTGTGACTCTTCTCAAAATGATTTGAAGGTATCTTAAACAAAAAAATGAATAAATAGTCTGAACAACTCTTGGAATGATAATGACTCTTCAAAATTATAGAAGGTATCTTGAACAAAAAAGAATGAAATCAATAGTCTGAACAACTCTTGAAATGATTGTTCTCCCTCCTTAAATGACATTTTTTCAATTCTTTGCAAAGAGTGAAGATACTTGGAGAATTTATATGATTAGAGAGAGAAACAGAGAAAAAAAAAATCCAAATAAATATGACAATCTAAAATTTTCTGTTAATATTTATTTTTTTCATTTTACATTCCACCAACATTAAAAAAAATGAGAAAAATGGGGTAAACATTTTAATAAATATGGTGACAAAAATGAGGACAATAGTCTGAATAATGTAAATAATGCATCTCATTTGTGTTGGTTTTTGTATATCTTAGTTATTGCTAATCATGTTTCCATCAAGTTTGTATTACCCACTCCAAGAATTGAACCTCCAATCCTACTAAATTCATGGACTGAGGATTTAATCTTCTAGGTTATTAGCCTGACTATAAATAATGTAAATAATGACCCAATCAAAGCAAAGAAAAATGTTAACACATCTTCATTATCTGTCGGCTATACATATTGCTAAAAATTGATGTAATGGATAGAAGTCCTTTTCTTTTTGATCTTTTATGCCATAATAAAAAACATCCTTTGACCAGAAATAGATGACCTTTACACTGAACAGCAGACTGTTCCTCTCCAATCAAGTTCTTGTTACATGGCAGATTTCCTCTGCCAAAATAAATTTTTTTTTTCTTCTTTTGCATAATTTCCTCTTGGGTGACAATTTTTTATTACAAAAAAAAAAAAAAAAAAAAAAATACCCTTTTATATCTGTTCAATATTTGAAAAAGAAATTTTGAAGTTTTTCCTCATTCATTTTATTCACAAAAACAATTGATAAGAATGGTGATCCCATGACTGCAATTGCAAGTGACAAAGAAGGAGTAATGGACTGAAAGGAAAAAGTACCACCAAAACTGTTTTAATTCATCCATGCATTGTGGAGAGTTTCTTGTAAAAAGTCTAATAAACTTAAAATATTCTCTTATCGACATTTGATTGATATCCAATGGTTAGTTTGGAGTTAGTGACAAATACATGAAAGGTGAGATTTAATTTCTTTACAGAAAACTTGCAAATGTCAGAAAGAGACAAAAAAAATCCTAGTGGGTTAAAGCTGAATAGGCAGAATTTATTGTAAGCATTTGAATGTGTTTACTAACAAACACAACTTCTTGTTTGTAGATGTTAGAAGGTTAAGACAAAGGCCTGACAAAAAAAAGTTAAAATAAATTCAGTGAAGAAAACGGATTTAATTTCTCGGTTTAATTCTGCTGGGGATGGAGAGCATCCTACAAACATTTAAAAAACAAAATCAAATTTTAATTTTGAAAGTTTAAAACTGGGAAAAACAAAAAAAAAAGTCCTTTTTCAGCTTTCAATATTTTAAATAAATTTAAATATATTTAAATATATTTACAGATAAATTCAAAATATAATGCTAAATTGTGTTAAATTAAATAAATTTTGATATTTTAAATTAAATTCTAATTAATATGATTTTAAATTTCACAATTTTGATGACCATACTAATTCATAAGACTTTAAAATCTTACTAAAAAGAAAAAAAAAAAAACAAACAAAAAAAAACAAAAAGACAATCTATCCTACACTGTTGATGTAATATCAATGATTTCAAAACATAAAATATGTCCCACCAGTGGGGGCATGGTAATATTTTGGTTTCTTGGACGTGTATGGGCATCTTTTTTTACTATACCAACAGAATAAGAGGGCAATTTGTTTGAAATGAGTTATTAACAGTGAATTGTTTTCTAGAGAACTTAAATTTCATTTTGCATTATTATTTCATAAAAGCTAAAAACCTAATTAAAGTATATTCATAGTATAATTTAATATATTCAAATATTTTATTAACATTCTGCCTTTCAATTCTTTATTATATCTTTTGAAACTATATATAGTTAACTGTCTTTTGTTTTTTTAATTTTTCAGGCTCATGGATTCCATGGTCTTTGGAATTTGTTTAGAGATCAAATTGATGGCCTTTTAAATTCCTTCATGTGAATTGCAGTCAAATTTTGAATATGTAAGAATTAAATATTACAGGGGATCACCAGAATTTTAGGAATACCAAAGTGGGGCGGCAATGGCCCAAAATCAGTTGGGAATCACTGATTAATATGATAAACTAATGTTTACTCAGATGCCATAAACTACCAGTTCTTGTACCTAGCCTCACTTCATAGTACTGGAATATTAATCGCAAAGAGTGGAAGAGTTTCATTTGCTATCAAATCTTTCGAAGATTTGTAAATTTTTTCTTTTATTTTGTTGGTTGAATGTTTTTCTTTTTTATTTTATAGCAACCATTTTTTAAATTAAAGCAACTTGGACGATGAAAATGACTCAATAAGCAACATTGAAAATTATACATACTTATATGTTTCTTAAAGTATTTCAATAAAATAAACATCCTCAGTGGAATGAGAACAGAATTTGTCTTTATGAAAGTTTCCCCCCCATGATTAATTTCCAATTTCAAAATCTTTTTGAAATGCAACAGAAAGTGAAACCTGACAAAAATAAAATCCTAAAAAACAAAAATTGTTTTATAAAACAAGCAGAGTTCCTTTGATTTCAGAGTTGATACCAGACTAGTAGACATCCAAACTGATTATTGATGTATTTTTGGGAAAAAATCAGGGGATATGAAAAAAATTTTTTCATTTTTGATACATTTTTTTTTAAAGAAACTAGATTCAAGAAGTACTTTAAAATAATAAATAAAAGTGAGATGATTCTTTATTCTATATTTTTGTCTGTTATCTTCACCTTTGTTGTTTTTAGCTCAACATTTTGGTCAATACAAGCTTTCAATTTTTATAAATTTAATCAGTAGAATGTTCCCATGAAACGTTCCCTTCCCTGAAACATATGTAAAAAAATAGAAATAAACATCAATTTATTAGAAAATATTTTGAACATTGCCACACCCCCAAAATAACCTTATTTTTATTTTATTTACTAAAATTCACCTGATACAAGGCTCAAGAACTGAACTGCAGAATTAAATGAATGCTTTTATATCAATGTAAGATTTGATTTGTTTTAAATCATTAAAATTATTTAAAACTGAAACAATTTGGATTGGAGAAGATTGCTTACATTACCTGGTGTTCGGAAATGGTCCCCTATCTAAGTAATAACCGGGCTCAACACTGCTTAACTTTGGTAATCGAATGAGAACTGGTTCTTTTCAGCATGATTTGACCACCATAAACATATGAAGGTAAGAGGCTATAGAAGGATGCGAAGAGTAATCAATGAATAGAAACAAATTGAACATCTTGAAAAAATAAATAAATTGTAAAATGAACACATCCATGCAAAAGTTTGTTCAATGGAGTAGCAATTTTCAGTTGGGGGGAATTCTTTGACTGAGTTCCACTTTATTTAAAATTGAATACAATGGAGTTTAAGTTTTGTTTCATGGTATCTTATTAAGTTTAAAACAAATTTGAATCATTTTTGAGTGACACAGAAGAAATGGATGTTATAAAAAAAAGGAAGATTTGTATATTTGTTGAAGAAAATTGTCCTATTTCAAACTTTCCAGTTTTAGACAAAAAGAAATAGATGATGAACCAAAGACTTTTTATTTATATAAAAAAGGTAGACATCTGATCCTTATTCTGAGGGACCCTATTTGTAGATATTTTATTTTTGGAGGACCCTATTTGGCAATGAACAAAGGAAATTTTCTCTCAGAAAAATTGTATTTTTCCAATTTTCAAACAAGTTGTTGACAAATCAAAATCTTTACAAGCTTGAAAATAAAGTTTATTTTTATATCATTTTTTTAAAAAAAAATCAACCATTTTGATTATAAATACAAACTAAATGTCTGAATCTAATTTAAACCTCCCAGCTTTTTCTGATTGGATGATACACTTATAAATAAGAATGTGTTTTTTAAAGATTTATTTTATTTATTTATTTTATAAACAAATAAATTTGTAATTTATAAAACCAGAAAATATTTTTTTTGGCTAAGAATTACTTTTAGATAATAATGATTTTTATTGAGTATTGCTCTTTATAAAAGGCATGTCCCCATTCACATAAATACAGTAGTAAATATCCTATGTTGGTCTTATTCATTGACTAGTTTTGATATATATTTTTAGTCAATCCTATATGTGATTGTTCTTTTTTTAAGTTTATTGTTTTTTACCAACCTTTTTTTAAAATTATTCTATTTAGTAAATTTTGAGGAGATAATAATAATTTTACTGATACAAGTCCTACTAATTAACCCCTAGCTGGTGGGGGAGAAAAAGTGGATTCATACTTTTCCCAAAGGTATTTGTGCATAAGTGAATATGAGCCTGGCTGGAATTAGAACTGCTCTCTTATTTCCAACTCTGAGCTGTTATCATTACACCACCTGCACATCCAAGCTTACAGCACCTAGTCACCCAAGTGGTCATCCATCTAGGTATTGAACAGGCTCTGCGTTGCTTAACTTTGGTGATTGTATGAGAACATTGTTTCAACATGATATGGTTATAAGCCAATGCCATATGTAGAATGGTTTCACAGAGCTTGACTGCATTAAAAAAATCTATGAATCAAGTAACTTAAACATGTTGTCAAGTATCTTAAATGTGTTATCTTTTTTATCAGGGTGCATGGTTGATTGATTAGAACACTTGCTTTCTGACCATGACACCTGGGTTCGAATCTCATTATGGTCAATTTGTTAGAATGGCGACTTCTGTTATTGGCCTGAGAAGGCAATGCCAGTATACTGTATCTTTTGGAAAATGTCTGAGAATCATACTATACATTGACCTTGTATGCGAAACTGGATAGACAAAATTGTTGATGGCTGCATTGTGTAGCATGAAGTCAAAAGTCATCATGGCTGAGGATTTGAGCGAACTGGTCTTGTTCAAACTGTTGATCACAACAGATTTTGAGCACTCTCTCCCCCAGAAACTGTAACTAAGGTTCGCTCAGCATAGTTGCTGTATAAACTAGAGGTGGGCTCTGTGGGCATTGAACAAACATAAAATATACCTGTCTGGCTAATGGGGACTGGCTAACCATATTAAGCAGTCATGCATACTTGTAAACGAGCAGACAGCCATTTTTAATCTTTTTTATACACAATTTGAAATATCATCTCCTGTCGCAAAATATATTTTATCTAAAATTTTATTTGAAGTGGATTGCTTCTTTTGTATGATAATAGTTACGGAGTTAAAAATATAAAAAGAAATTGTAAAGAAATTTTAAACAAGATCAATTGAAAAACAAAGCCAGACTATTCTCAACAACAAAGCTAGTTAGCTAAATACATACACACAGTACTGAGGTTAATCTTTCACAAAGCCAGGTGGGTCCTGCCTGACAAAGGATTTGTCATGATAATTTGAGGCAAGGTTCTCTTCCTGGCACCTAATCCAGACACTCAGGGTTGTCCAAGTACACTAAGTGTTTTTATCGGGATACCATCTCTAGGAAGGTTATAATTCAAGCCCATCCTATATATAATTAATTAAATAATTAAGAAAGAGACAACCTTATGGTTCCATGACTATAATTTCTCCAGAAAATATATATTTCCTGGCTCATCAGGTCACATCTCAGGAAAAATATATTTTCTGGGGAAATAAATTACAGTCATGGAACGTTAAGGTTATCTCTTTCTTAATTATTTAATTAAACTTTGCTCTGGTGTGACATTGAGCTCTCTGGATTAAATCCTCTTTGGAATTATCCATATGGATTACCAAACCCTTCATTACCTTACTACTATATATACAAGTGGACATTGGGGTCAACACCCAGTGACAACTATTTGTTTCATGCCTAAAGATTACATTTAAGCATGCAACAGACAGATTGTTGCCACTGGGTGATTGACTTCAATATCCACTTTTATATTTACAAATGCTTTATACCTGATATCTATCACCTTAACCCATAAATACAATATACCTTATATATATATATATGTGTGTGTGTGTGTGTGTGTGTGTGTGTGTGTTTGTGTTTATTGGCCTTTGGTTCCTATAAGATGCTCATCTACCGTTTTGCCATCCTTATCTCGAAGACAGAAAAACTAGTGGAGGAACTAGTTTAGGTGGCAAACCTTGGGATCCATGTTATCAGTAGCAGATCTAAACCTGACTTAACCAAAAATAAAACAAAAAGATACCACTAGACTGAAGACAACGATTCTGAAGTTAAATTCATACTTCCCACAAAATTTTAAATAAGCATTAAACCAACTATTTGGGAACGCACACACACAAACAAAAAGAATTAAACAAATCTAGCTGGCTTCCATGTGCCCCATAATTTAAAAAAAAAAAAAAAATCCTTACACCCGTATATCACTTTTCCAAACCTTTAAACCAACTAATCCTTGCATTCATTAACAATTTTCTTGAAATACTGCTGTCAAATAAACCCAGTAACAGCACTCTAGCCTTGTTGAATATCCTCATTAAAGAAACTATAGATATCAAAACAAAGTGTATTCTTCATTTCAACCCACTAATATCAATCTAACAATTCTATGCAAACAACTTCTACTCTGTCCCATACATGTACCTTTTCATGATCATCACAGCAACATTTACACACAAAAAATTTATGGTGTAGCTATGGGTTAACCTCTTGATCTTACATTATCTCATTTCTACATAACTCATGCAGAAAACAAGACCTTTAATAATAAATAACTTTGCCAAGGAAATAATATGTTCAATATATCAATGATATTCATCCTATTGAAAAAAAAAATAGCTTAAATAAAAAAAACATTAAGAAAATTTAAGAAAAACTGAAATTTACTCAAAACTTAACATTAGTAATTAAATCCTTTCCTTTGATGTTTTAGTTTATGCTAATAGTCACAATGTTACTACTCCACTGTATAAAAACCCACAAGCAAAAATTTGTCTTAATTATAAAAAAAAACTTAGCAACATAAAAACAAACTTATCAATAATAATCTCCCCATGTTGTCAAAAACAAAAAAAAAATGCTATTAAAAATATAATCACTTAATGATTGCAATAAATACCTTAGATTCATCATTTACTATGAAAATTTCAACATGTCTACCATAATCATTACCAATAACTTGAGACTTTAAATAATCCTACATCTCAGTGGAAAAATTGTTTATTAACTTTTGTGTCTCTTGGGAGATTGCATCTTCAATACCAGTAATCAGAAAGTAACATTAAATTCTTACATTGGTCACATATTCACCACACTCTGTCATAGGTTAACATGTCACATATCAACCATCGCCTCACAAACAACCAAAATACAACTACTAACATTAGCCAAATATAATTAGATAATGTCAAAATACTAAATAGCTCTCAAACCATAAAGATTTACACTACTTAAAGCTATTATGATACAAGAGAAACAAACCACTTTAAATATCCTTCACCACAGGAGATGGCATGTTAAAATGTGTAGATAGCTTGCAAAATTTAAAATTAAATTCAATCGAGAAAGGGTAAAATGAATTCTAAAGATTGAATGCAAAGTATGCCTGAGGAGGGCTGGAGAATGTCTTGGCTGAAACGTCATGCTAAAAACAACAAATATAAAGACAAACGTGTAAAATTCTATATAATAATGAAATTGGGGAAAACAACTGAGGGTGATGGGCTGATTACGAACACACAAGGGTTAACTGAAAAGGCAACAAGCAATGTTGCTACAAAGAGACTGAATGAGGTTAGTGCAATGGACAATAAAATAAGTAAACAAAACCAGTAACTTCTATCTAATACTGAGAGAGATGATGTTTTTGGTCAGTTAAACTGCCAGCCGAGTCATCAAAAATTTGACACACAATAACAGTAAACAAACACCTTTTTTAAATTTTTTTTTTTTTTGTCCAAAGAACTCACCGTTGGAACATTTACGAAAATTGGATCCTCTTCTCACTAGAAGACAAATTTCAAAGTGATTTATAAAAAAGGTAACATCTTCAGTCCAAGATGGCCATCCCTTTGATGGCTTACAGACACACATACATAAAACACAAACAAGAAGAATGGCACATCAAATATTATAAATTACCCCACAAATTATTCACATGAGTATCCTCATCTTTGTTGTTTTCATAGTCAATAAAGTCTTTGATGCTCCTCAGATTGACACTTTACACAATACATTGAAAGAATATTATATATATATATATATATATATATATATATATATTTTAGGAAATGGA